AAAAGACAGGCGCGCCTCCTGGCCATAGTAGTAATGGTTCGTCTTTTCAAACAGTTATGGCTCAGCCTACAGGCAATTTTGATAATTTTGACCTATGGACGAAATCAATTCACGGAATGAACTGGCCGTGAAACTATTTCACAACTCTAACCTTTTTGTGTAGCGCCCGCCACGACGGCGCCACACTCTACGGTGCAGCGCCTAGCCCGGGGACGTTGCACACCAGTCCACCGTGGCAGCCCCTGGGCCCGCAACCAGCAGTGCAACGCCTCCGAGCTAGGCGCCACACTTGTAAAGTGCAGCGCCCAGACCGTAGGCGCTGCACTGTGACTTAGACGCCAGGCGCCCGCTCCCCCTCCCGCACCCCACCCATTGGTCGGTTTTGAAGTAACAGAAGCCGCCAAATCCACCACCACCACGAGCTCTACCACCACCACCACCACCACCACGGCTTCTTGTAAGTCCTAGTTGCCGACCTCTTTGTTGCCTAGATCCTCTTTGGCTAACACTTGGTTGGCTTGGCACTTGTTGGCTACCACTTGGTTGGCTTGGCACTTGTTGGCTACCACTAGGTTGGCTACCAATTGGTTGTCTTGGCACTTGTTGGCTACCACTAGGTTGCCTTCGCTTTTGTTGGCTACCTCTTGGTTGGCTTGGCACTTGTTGGCTACCACTTGGTTGGCTCCCTTGTGTAGCTCCTTGTTGGCTTGTGCTTGCATCATTTTTCTTGGACCTTTTCCTTGGTTTCGTACATTTTCTTTTGTTGTGGCCATGACCTTTGCACTCCCCACAACGGGAGCTCTCACGAGGCTCTTGGAATTGGTCGTTGCCCGCTTCGCGGCGGCCACCATGGCCCCATCCGTCCATGTCTCCTCTAAGACGCTTTGTCTTACGTCTACCCCGTTTAACAACCTTCAACTCCGGATCCGGCCGTAGTTGAACTCCATGATACTCCGGCCATTGCGATTGGTCAAAGTACGGGTGAAAGCGGGGAGCCCATGTTTTCTTGACTGTCATGATTGAGAACTCGGACTCCCTCACGGTGCGTGGGTGATTGATGTCCACATTCCTAAGGCGACCGGCTGTATACAAGTGTGAGCATGGGAGATGAAGCAACAACGGCCTACCGCAAGTGCAATCACATTGTGTTAACGACACCTTGAAAGCCCGACCTCCATGTTGCCGGCCATCGTTTGTGGTTCCTCCTGGCTCTTTCACTTCGTACTTCCACTCTTCGTTGTCATATAATATAGCTTCTTCTGAGTCCGCCTTCCGTGATTGAAATACCAACCATTCATCAACTTTAGGTGGGAACTTGTACTTGTACTTCCGTGGGTTCTCACCCGCTATTTGTGCATCGGTTTCCATCGAGTACTTTACAAAGTACGCATTCATCTTGTCAAATGTGTATTGAACTATTGCCGTCACGGGTAATCCACGTGCACCTTTGAGCACCCTATTGAAGCATTCCGCCATATTGTTTGTCATTTGACCGTATCTCCGGCCATCTTCATCAAAGGCACGTGCCCACTTGTTCCGGTATTGAATGTGCGTATTGAGAAAGTCTTGACCCCCGGCATCAAGTTTTTTGTGTGCGAGCAATTTGTTGTACAAAGTGGCGAAGCGCTTCTCGGAGAAAGCAAGACAACAATCTTGAAGATCATCGGCCAACTCCTTAAGGCCACATGCCCTATAGAAGTTCGAACAAAAGTGCCTCATGCACCATCGATGGTGCAACGGAGCATGCCCGGGAATGTCAATCTCCACCGCGTTAAGAATTCCTTGATGCCGATCCGATATGACACACATTTCCCTTTGAGCGGGTAACACCTTCGTCCTCAAAAGATGCAGAAACCACTCCCAGTTGTCATTGTTTTCCACCTCAACCAAAGCAAATGCCAATGGCAGCACCCGGTTATTGGCATCACTTGCTATCGCAACCAACAAGGTGCCCTTGTATTGTCCGGTCAAGAACGTGCCATCAATTGCGATGACCGGCCTACAATGTTCAAAAGCCCTCACACATTGCTCGAACGCCCAAAAAGCACGGCCAAATACTCTGACTTTCCTTCCTTCATGAACCGTTGTTTGGTGCCCATGAGGCTCGACCACATGAACCATGCCCGGGTTTGTCGCGGCCATGGCTAACAACAATCTAGGGATTCGGTTGTATGCTTCCTCCCAAGTACCATACAACATCTTAAATGCGGCTTGCTTCGCCTTCCATGCCTTGCCGTACTTCACCTTGTAGTGAAAGATGGCTTTCACAAGGTCAATGACATGTTGGACGCTCATTGTTGGAAGTGTGGATATTGAGTTGGAGAGCCTGTAAGCGATGAACTCGGACGTGAGTTGTTTGTGGTTTTGGGACACAATCTTGCCATCCACCCTTTTGCCTTGGCACATGTGAGTTGGCACACAACTCACTACGTGCCAAGTGGGACCTCCTTTCCATGGTCTTGCACGCACAATCCATGGACATATTTCATCTTCACATGCACATGCAACCGTGTAGCGCACTTTGACGTCCGAATGCACCACCTTATGTGGACGATAATGCGTAACCGAGTAGTTGTCGAGCCACATCTTCAATTCCAAGAAGGTGTCGAACTTAGAACCTTTAGCAATGCGGTTCTCGTCATCTCCCAAATCACGATAAGAGATTGGCCTAACCCCAAGAGGTACACATTGGCCACCATCTACCACGGCTTCATCCGCGAGACTAACATCCTTGAACAATGTAGTCCGATGATCCCGACCAAATACCTTCTCGAAAGCTTCGGCTTCCTTCACCGTGAACCCCTCCGCATCAACTTGTTCATCCGGACCATCGTCATCCGAGTCCGATGCATATGCACGGGAAAAAGGGATGGAAGGGTCCATTGTCTCTTGCAAGTGATATTTGTCGAGATCACCCACATTGTTGTCATGGAGATCAACTTCATTGTCATCGTCCGCATACTCATTATTGTCCTCTTGCAAATCTTCATCTTGGTTGTTTGTAAACGGGCTCAATGTTGGCCTCACTTCTTGGGTCAAAAGAGGTTCAACAATTTCATCTAGCTTCAAAGGTGTGGGGCTACTAGCAACCAAAGGGGAGGGGTTCCGGTTCAAGTCCAAATGCAAACTTGAATCAACCTTCTTTGTTGCAAATAACTCAAGAGCCTTGTCTAGTGATTCGGCCACCGTCTCCTTGTATGCAACCCAACGTTGCTCCGAGTTGACACGCATTGTCTTCCAACGGATGTGCATTCCAAAACCAACATTATGCCTTCCCTCCAACTCTATGATATCACTAGGGTCCGTCCAATTCAAATCTTCCCTAACTTGTTGCAAGAGCTCCGCATAGCTAGGACTACTATCAAACACAATGTCAACCTCATCCGGATCCGGTTCTACATTGCCTTTCAAAAATGCGTCCTTGTCCCCATGATGAACAAACACACATGTTCTTTCCATCCCTATAAGCATTCCAATAACACAAGATAACATTGCTTCCATGAGTACTAATACAAGGATTAACACGGAATAGAAACCCTAATTTATATATCAAACAACAACCCTAACCATAACCATAACCATAACCATAACCATAACCCTAGCCCTAAACCTAACCCTAGCACCAATATAAGAACACCCATAAGAATAACCCTAGCATACTAACAAAGCCTAACCATAGAAATTGGCAAACAAACATCTCACATTTCCATGCATATCTCTAGATCCAAACAAAACTAGGGTTTCCCCAAACAAGCAACAAATGAGCAATGGGGAACTTTACTTGGATCAAAACAAGGGGAATGGAGAATATTACCTTGAGGGAGGGTTTGACTTCGAAATCCACGGACAAAATCTTCAAATTTGCAAGATTTGGGAGAGGATTTGAGAGGGGGAGAGAGGGGGAAAGGGGGCAAAGCTCGGGGGAGGAGAGTGGGAGAGTGTGTGGTGTGGGGGTGAGGGACCACACTCTGGATAAGTCACAGTGCAGCGCCTAAGAGATAGGCGCTGCACTTAAGAAGTGTGACGCCTACCTCGGAGGCGTTGCACTTTACAAGTGTGGCGCCTAGCTCGGAGGCGTTGCACTGCTGGTTGCGGGCCCAGGGGCTGCCACGGTGGACTGGTGTGCAACGCCCCCGGGCTAGGCGCTGCACCGTAGAGTGTGGCGCCGTCCTGGCGGGCGCTACACAAAAAGGTTAAAGCTGTGAAATAGTTTCACGGCCAGTTCATTCCGTGAATTGATTTCGTCCATAGGTCAAAATTGTCAAAATTGCCACGACTACACCGCGAAGGGCCACACCGCTGCATGATTCATTGGACTGAGAGAGAAAATTAGCAGGGCCATCCATGAACAATACTCCATCTACACGAAACAGACAGCGGAGCATGGTTGCTTGCAGCATCCATCTACTTCTACCTCTCGCTGTCCCAAGCCCTCAACTGTCTGCTCTGCTCCTAAAACTAAGCATGCATCATGCTGTTACATGTGACAACACCATGTGATGTATCCAAGGGTGCACGCATCGGGCTCCCGCTTGGTTCGCCGGTGCGTTGCTCTCTTCTCGTCTCTCCTCTTTTCCTTCACCCCAAAGGGAAAGGTTCTTGGTTTCTTCAACCCTGATGATGGTAAAAGCTAAGCACCGCCATTGATTTACACTACCCTAGCAAACACACGCTAGCTCATAGAAAAACTCCTTGGGACAAAGCTGGAAATAAAGTTCTGCGCTAGTGCTGCACTGCTGCTGCTGTAGCAGTACTTAGTACCCTAACAAGCTAATGAAGGTGATGGAGTTGGAGGGGCCGAATTCCTAAAACCTAACATGACCTAAACCTGCTGGACTCTAATTAATCTCCAAACGGTACTACTCGGATGATGATGATGATGATACTAGCAGAGAAATGGAAGAAAAAGGGTTCGAGTACGGTAGTACAAAGACTGATACGGGCGGGAAAATGTACAGCCACCGCGGACGGAGTGGCCAGCCAGCCAGCGAGCGAGCGAGCTAGAACGACGCCACGGCGGGCGCGGTGGCGGTGACTGTGAGCGGGCCGTCCTCCTTCTTGCGCCTCATCTCGAGCACCTTGCGGTGGGAGTTGGAGTGGACGCTGCTCACGTACGTCGGGCTGCACGCCGGACGGTACTCGGGGAGCAGCCGGCCGGACTTGTAGCGCACGCCGCACGCGTTGCACAGCGTCTTGGCGCCCTCCGGCCCCGCGCGCCACTGCGGGGTCTTCTGCACGCCGCAGTGGCTGCAGCGCCGGTCGCTCTGGGTGGCCTCCGTGGCGCTGGACGGGTGGGCGGGGAGGTTCTTGGGCTTGCGCCCGCGCTTCTTGGCCTTCTGCTTGCTGCTCTTGCCGTGCTTGGACTTCTTGGCCGGCGGCGGCAGGATGTTGTACTCCTCCATGAGCTCCGAGGCGCCGAAGTGCGGCGTGTCCAGCAGGAAGTAGGGCGAGAAGGACGCCGACGAGGAGCAGGAGGAGGTGGTGGTGGTCGACGAGGACGAGGTGGAGTCCGGCGCGGGGCCCGAGAGCGACCACCCCGACGCCCGAGAGCGCTTGCTGCGCTTCGCCTTGACCGGAACCAGCGCCTCCGTGGACAGCGCGCATATGGTCGGAGTCCGCATAGGGTCGGACATGGACGGCAGAGCGCGGTACGCTCCATCCTGCGGGTGCCGCTGCGGTAGCGGGTGTCGCTGGGGTAGCCGGTGCTGCGGCGGGCGTGGCGCCAACGAGGCCATCATCGACGCGGGCGGCGCCGGCTGCGGGGGCAGCTCGGAGAGCGAGTCGTCCATGATACGGGACACCCACTCGAGCTCCTCCTCGACGTCATGCGCCTGCGGAAACACACAGCAAGGCAGGAAGAAATAATTAATTTCACCACGTACGACAAAAGCCTGGAAAAAGCCGCGAGAAGCGGTCAAAGTTGCCTTGAAACCTCACCGGCAGGTCAACAATCTCCGGCGCGGGCGGCGCCGGAGGGGCGAGCTCATACGACACGACGGGCTGGTTGGGCCCGTCGTTCAACTTCTCCTCCTTCACGTCGGCGGCCGGAGCCTCCTCGGGCTCGTCGGCGCCGTCCTTATCCGGCTCGCAAAACTCCTCAAGGTCCAGCAGGTCCTCGACGGAGAAGCCGTCCCGCTCGGCGAAGCCCCAGGCAGCCGGCGCCTCGGCGGCGGCGGCGGCCTCGTCGGGCGTCTCCTCCTGGCGGCTACTGCCCTTGAGGGCGTCCATCCTCTCGTCCTTCACGCCCCAACATACAGAGGAAAATCATAAATTCCCGAAACCAAGAACCACAAGTTGAGAGAAAGAGAAAGAACGCTCGTTTCCTTCCTTCCACTCCGAAAAAAACTTACAACAAAAAAGAAAAATCAACAAAAGATTCTCTCTCTATCTATCTCTATCTCTATCTCTCTCGCCCCCGTAATCCCCCTCCCTCCTTACCAGAGAGCTGTGGTGGTGCGCGTAGGACGGCATGGCCGAGGGGCGAAGGGTGGTCGCGGCGGCGGCGGCGGCGGCGGCGGGGCTGGCGTTTGAGGCGAAGGGGAGAGGGTCGGGGGAAGCGGAGGCGGAGAAGGCAAGGGAAGAAGGGGTGAGCGTTTGGTGGAGCATTGAATGGCTGCCAAAGTCCGTGGGCACAACAAATGCGAGCAGTGTCGCCTCACGCCCCTCCCCTTTCTCGCATTTCACTCCACCTCCGGCTTCCCTCCTCCCGCACTCCAAAATTTTCGTCTCGTCCGCTCCTTTTCTTTGGCCTTTGGTGCTCCCCCCGAACCGTTTCTATCTTTATTTTTATGTCGCCACCTCGCTACTATCTTCTCGGTATCGGTCGACTCGCCTACTCATTTTTTTCTACTGTGTGTGTAGACCCTGGCCTTCGAACTCATCCTCTTTATAAAAATCTTCTTTATAAAAAAGGAAGAAACGGAGGCGGAAAAGAAGGGTGACGCTACCGGTAACAGCGCAGCGGTCTCGTCGTCTCTGTGTTTTCCACCGCCCCGCGTCGTCGTGATTGTCGTGCTGCGTGGGCGACGAGACGACGGGGTGGTTCCGTTCTTCTCTTCGGGGCCTGTGGGTGGGTTAAGGTAAAGTGGGTGAGCGATTAGTGGCCGCCGGGGGACACGTGGTGGGCCAGCCGCGATGCCTTCCCTCCGGTCCGAGCGAAAATCATAAATGGCGTCATTTTTGAAACGCGAGTGCGGAAAGGTTCGAATTGGATTTGGGCGCCCTTTGAATTCCTTCGATCCGCGCCGGATATGCTGACGCTCCCTGCATATCTTTTCTTCTCTCCTTTTTTTTTTCATTTTCGTGCTGTGGACACGCGGGCCTACAACTGTAAATATGATGTATCTTTTTTTTTCTGTTGCGGGTAAATATGTTGTATCGTATCGTACCCATGTGTACAAAGATATGCTGCATTCATACAAATCTTGGAGGAGTACACACTTGTGTGTATGCATGCACTAAAAAAGGTGTGACTATGGTGGAGCAGCATGTATATCGTCCATTCACTTTAAACTGATGACGATTTCCTGTATACCGGCGCAAAATACAGGCAGCTTCCACTTTTGACAAATAATTATGCTACTCCAAGATTTGCAAAATAGTGGTTGGTTGGTGCTCCAACAATGAACGATATTTATATTGTCTATACTCATTTAAAACCATTGGCGTTTTTAATACGATGGCACAAAAATGTGGCACGCATCAACCATCTACAAAACAATGGTACTATCTATCGCGTTTAATAGTAGTACGAAAGCCGCGTAGAAAGTGTGTCTATCTATTGGGTTTTTGTTGATTAACGTCAAGATTATGTGCATAGTGCTTTATCAAACATTTCATGGTTTGATCCCTCTATGATTGGACTGCATCAACGATGACCACTAAAAACTGAGAAAAGCCAACATAGGCACTAATAGTAAAATTTTCATAGGTTTTTAGTGGGCCAATTTCTACATTCAGTCCAAAAATGCAGCTACTACATTAAATTAAACAAGATCATTACACTTAAATCTAAGGGCGGTTTATTGTCAAATTTGTAATCAATCTCGAGTGCTCTCGTGAAAATATCTCTATTCTCGAAAATTTCGCATTTGCAGGTTGGTTGGTACCTCTGAACCTGGTGAGAAACCGTAACAGTGGGACTGAAACTCACGACCTTAGTTCACGAAATTGCCTTACTCTAGTTTGCTTCACACGGGTGGGCTCTTAAAGCTGGTACCTTCGAGCCGGCAGTGGCGGGGCTTGGAAGAAATCTCGGGAGGGGGGAGCTAGAAAAAGAAACAAGTATGGAATCATACGAATACAACCAGTTAGATATTGCAAATATGGAGAAACTTAGAAGTATACTGATCTTGTCCATATTTGCTTAGAAAGTACATTTCTTGTGTTAATTATATATAACCTATTGTCAAGTCTGAGGGGGATTTACCACATAAAACAACTCCGGATGTCGAGTGCTCTTAATTAATTGGAATTTTTTGCTATCATGGCCACGGAATCGTAATAACAAGTAAAGTAAACACTAAGGTTTTGGAATATTTCTCGATATGTTCTCATTTCACACCTTCAACTTATGTGGCTTACAACTCTCAGATGGGGAGTTATAGTTAACTAAAAGTAAACATGATTAGCCTGAAGTGAAACGCAGCGAACCTTTACCAGATGATGAACGATAGCCATAGGATCTCATGGATGTATCTCGGTCGTTCAATCTTCATAAAGAGCCCTCGAATCTTATCTGGCTTAACAGGATAACCCCCCTGCCCATAAAGATCATATTCAGTTTCGAAATCTGACAATGACCTCCCCTAAGCCAACACTTGCCCCCGAGTAGTTCAATCAAGGAACCAATCTTTGATGGTCCATTTAGAAAAATCCAAAAATATCTTTTTAATGAAGTTGGCATCTTCCCAAGAAGTTTCATCTAGAGCTAAGTTAGGCCATTGTATCAGCTATTCTATGACCTACACTTTGTTTCTTTGTAGAGATCTTGTTTTCATCATCTGTATTGGTTCAGTTCTATTTTTTTTCATCGATTCCAATGAGTGGCAGTTGTTGGTTATGAAGAACATGTGAACCTTGATGTCTTCTGAGCCGACCTACATGGGAAACCGGGTGAATCTTAATATCTTGCTTAAAAAACAGGATATTTTTGTCAGGATATTTTTTTCATTCTCTCTTAAGCTTGCTTCAAACCGTGCTCCAGTTTATTCGGAGTTTGTTGGTTGTCTTGGAAGAAGTTTTTAGCATCATAATATGTAGGCCTAGGCACTACTACTTCACTGGTCGGGGGCATATCCATATAGGGTTTGAAAGGGGGATACCTTAGGCAGAAGTATGACAGGAAGTGTTGTACAAACACTCTGCAAATGATTGTTAGCCAGCCCATTTATGGAATTCTTGGGAAGACATACCCTTCAGGTAAATTCCAAACATTTGATTCACCCTCTCTGGTTGCCCATCTGTCTGTGGGTGGTAATTTGTACTGGGCTTGAGTTGCACGTTCATGGCTATGAGCACTGAGCACTCCTTGCCACATATTACTTTTGATTTTGTAAATATTCTACCTCTATCAGTGATGATGCTTGTTGGGGGATGTCACTTGAAGACACCCTTAATGAATGCTTGTGCAACAGTGTGAATGGAGTAGGGGTGGGTAGGACCACAAAATTAACATATTTTATGTATCTATCCACGGTGACCAATATGACATCTTTACATGATCCTCTAGGCAATCCTTCAATAACATCCTTTGTGATCTTAGACCAAGCTTGTTTAGGAGGAGGAATTTGTTCATAGTAGACCTGGGTATTGACAATGTTGAACTTTTCCTCTCTATCAAATTGCACATTCAGTAAGAAAGTTCTGCACTTGCTTCTTTATTCCAGGTCAGTAAAAGACCAACTTTAATCTTTGTTAATTAGCTATCATACCAGAATGTACACCAATGGAAGAAGCATGAAATGATTATATGATTTGTGCTACTTGTGAGCTGCGTTGGGATTTCCTCAAAGAGGAGAGGATGATGTGGTACAGTAGAGATAAGTAATTCCCTTAGTTAAGAACCAAGGTTATCAATCCAGTAGGAGAACTACGCAATACCTCGTTAGCAGTACCTACACACAAAATAAAAAATACTTGCACCCAACGCGGATAAGGGGTTGTCAATCCCTCAACGGTTAATTGCAAGGATCAAATCTCGCAGTGATAGATAGATAACTAAAACACAAAATAAAATAAACAAAGAAAAACTGCAGCAAGATATTTTTTGATTTTAATATATGATAAAAAGTAGATCCGGGGGCCATAATTTTCACTAGAGGCTTCTCTCTTGAAAATAGCATATGGTGGCTAAACAAATTAGTGCTGGTTAATTGATAGAAAAGAAATAATCATGATGACATCCAAGGCAATGATCATGTATAAAGGCATCACGTCTGAGACAAGTAGACTGACTCCTCCATGCATCTACTACTATTACTCCACACATCAATCGCTATCCAGCATGCATCTAGAGTATTAAGTTCATAAAGAACGGAGTAACGCCTTAAGCAAGATGACATGATGTAGACAGAGTAAACCCATGTATGAATAAACTTCATCTTTTTATCCTTAATGGGAACGACAAAAATACGTGTTATGTCCCTTTCTGTCACTGGGATTGAGCACCGCAAGATCGAACCCATCACAATGCACCTCTCCCATTGCAAGAAAAATCAATCTATTTGGCCAAACCAAATCAATATATCAAAGAGAAATACAAAGCTATAACTATCATGCATAAAAGAGTTCACAGAAGACTCAAATAATTTTCATGGATAATCTAATCATAAACTCACAATTCATCGGATCCGAACAAACACACCGCAGAAAGTCATTACATCAAATAGATCTCCAAGAACATTCAGGAGAACATTGTATTGAAGATCAAAGAGAGAAGAAGCCATTTAGCTACTAACTATGGATCCGTAGGTCTGTGGTAAACTACTCACACATCATCATAAGGGCAACAAGGTTGATGTAGATTCCCTCCGTGGTCGATTCCCCCTCCGGCAGAGTACCGGAGAAGGCCTCCTGATGGGATCTCGTGAGAATAGAAACTTGTGGCGGCGGTAAATGTATTTTGGATGCCTCTCTGATGTCCGGGAAATATTTGAAAATTTATAGAGGCAGGATTAGGTCAAGAGGTGCCACGAGGGGCCCACAAGCATGGGGGCATCCCCCTGGGGCACGCCTCCTGAGCTTGTCGCTCCCTCGTGGCTCGCCAGGTCTTCTCCCGAACATTCTAGGGTCTCTTCTGGTCCAGAAAAAATTAACCCAATTTTTTTTCTCCGTTTGGAGTCTATTTGATATTGATTTCCTGGAAAGCCAAAAACAAGCAAAAAAAACAGCAACTGGCTCTGGGCCCTAGGTTAATAGGTTAGTCCCAAAAAATGATATATAATTGCATATAAAACATCCAAGATTGATACTATAATAGCATGGAACAATAAAAAAAATTATAGATACATTGGAGGTGTATCAAGCATCCCCAAGCTCAATTCTCGCTCGTCCTCGAGTATGTAAATGATAAAAACAGAATTTTTGATGTGGAATGCTGCTATCAT